CACACACACACACACACACACGCACACACACGCACACACAGTTGGTGGGCAGTCTCTCACCTTGTCAGGTGCTTGGCTCTGGAGGCTGCCAACATCCAGAGGAGTGATGAGGGGCACATTTTGGAAGCCGTCCTCCACACTCACCGCTTTGGMCCCTTTGTCCTGAAGATTACTCCCCAGTTTGACCATCTTCAACCTGGTTATACTCCTTTATTTCCCTCAGGACTGCTCCTGAAAAGAGAAACCATTAAAAACGGGCTATTTACGTTCATTCGGTTCAATGAAACCTGGTAAATAATCAAGAAAATTGGCTAGATTTAACTTTTGAAGCGTTTGTTTGTTGATACAAGAGATAACTGATGTGAGTAAAGCTGCCAAAACAAAGATGTTTCATTTTATGAGAATCTTTTAGGTGTTAAAAGGACAGGAGCAAAATAGTCAACCCTGCAACAACATCTCGTCCACAAAAACAACAGAAAGTGCTCCTGAAGCTGCCACTTACAGCTGGTCCTTGTCCGCCTCCTCGGTGCTGCAGCAGCGGTGTGAGAGCGGCGCAGGTGAGGCTGGAGGCTGCTGGCTGCGGCGGTGTCGCTGCTGCTGATGCTGCGGGGAAGCGACGCGGGACCACCGGGGACAGACAGAACTCGATCCGGGTCTGACGGCAGCTTTCCRAGCAGCGAGGCAGCCCAACCCCCTAATCCAACAACAGCGCCTCGTCTCCGCGATGCTACACCCAACCGCTGGAGCTACAGCTACAGGGGATGTTACGCTTTTTTTTTTATTATTCCCCCTCCCTCCACGTATGGTTTGTTTGGTTAAAGTAAAAAGCAGTAATGCTGCGTTTTTGCTCCTCGTAAACTCCACTTCCGAAGTGAGAGAGGCTGAAATAGTAGATTTAAAACTGAATTAATTTCACTAGAAGGGATATATACCTTAAAGTTATCACATTAGAATCGATAAGAGTTTCAATAATTAGTTCCAGTTGGAGAATTTTAACATTACTAAATTATTCGTGGATAAAACTTGTTATTTCCGGCAGCATTTAAACGTAACACAAGCAAAGACGCTCCGACGCCAGAGCGTCTTGTCCTACAGCGCCCTCTGGCGATCAGCTTAGTGAAACACACCCACAGCCCTAATAGAGGCTATTTTTGTTTTTTTATGGGGTAAAGATGTAAAACTAATTTCTTTGTGGTTAAAATACAACTCTAACGTTTGTGGGATTAATTACTTAAAACCCCAAAAAGACAAATAAATATAATTACAATCAAAATGTAAATACAACCCGAGAAAACTATTTACATTACCAAGCAACCCACAAGACATTAAAACTTGAAGTTGCAATAAAAGCTTTTTTTTCCTCCATTTTCTAACCTATTATAGCTGCTTGTCTTTCTTTTTCTCTTCTTATCCTAAATTAGTGACACATCTGACAGATAGGTGGAAGATATGAATTCTTTAATAGTTTGCAAATTATTTCACAAATTTGCAGCAGCAGTTGTAAAAGTGTTATTTATATTTTTAAGCATAGATCACAAGTTATGAGATTTTATGAATAGTAACTTCCTAAAAAAATAAGTGGAAGAAAATAGATTTTTTTGCATATTTTGTCACTTTTTTTAAACTTGGCACAGCCAAAGCACAACAGGAAGTGACAACAAAGGGGAACTTCCTGGTGTTTGTTTATATGAACTCACTTTTCCTCGTCTCCCTGATACTCAAAATAATCTAAAGAAACATCAGATTCTTGCTGTTAGCCGTTGCAGTAAAGCTGATTACATGCAGGCCTTCCTCTTTGTCATCACTTCCTGTTAACTGTGCGTGTCAATATCCTAACTGTYCCTCTCAGCAGCTTTTATTCACTGTTAAAATCCAATTAAGCATTTGTATTTATCGCAAAAAAGTTGATATCAAAGGCACTTTAGGCTTCCTAAGCAAACTTTAGCAACTATTCACATTGCACGTTTACAGAATACAATTTTGCTAATAGTAGAAATTTTAGCATTTTGAAAATTCAATGAAACTTCTTTTTTTTTCAAATTTCTTTTAAAATATTAAAAGAAAATAGTTTAGTTTTTAAGCCTGCACAGGCAAAAACCCTGAATATGATAATTTGTAATGTGATCGGTCCAGTAGTGACGCCACAGAGGGCAGCGACTCRGCTTCAGACTGTTTACTCTTCGACTGACGAAGGTCTGCGTCAAGGTCAGGCTGTTTAAAAAAGTAAAAAACAAAACACCAAGAGACATGACGCTACCTGAAGACAAAAAAAAAAAAAAAAAGTTTAACATCCAAACTGTTGCAGAAATAATCAGACCTCACACATTCTTTTCATCACAGTTAAGATTTATTTCATTCAACATTTCACATTACAAATATTTAAAAATTATGCATACTGTTATAAATAGTTGGCTGCAAACAATTAAATAACATTAGATTTTTCTTTATGTCGTTTCACAAGCACTTCTACAGACCAACTCCAAGAAATATGGACATATCCATATTACATAACTTAACTAGAAAGGAAAATACAAAAATAGGAACTTATAAAGTGAAATGACAATAAAAATTAAGGTGATATCTTAAGTAAAAAAATGCTATTAATAAATACAACAACCTTCCCATACACAGTTAAAAACTATTGAAATCTTGCCATTAAGTAACATCGTTTAACAGACAAATATTTAAATATTTATTTTCCTTCAGAAAATGTGAACCATATATTGTGGAGCACAATATAGCAATTAGTAAAAACTAGACACTTTAACATATTAAAAGCTTCACCTCAAAAATATAACAAAAATCTGATCAAAATTATAAAAATCAATTATACATTCCAATTAAAAATATACCAATAAACAGCTAAATACATTGTTGACCTAATAATTACAATGCAATCAATCACAGTAGCTTAAAATAAACAAAAAAATAAGCAAATGAGCACAAAAACCTTTTTTGAATGTTTTAAAAATAACTTCAATTATTTATATTAGTACAAATAGTTTGATTTCTTTTCTTTCTTTTTTTTTTTACAAACACCAGCATGAAAAGGATTACAATAACAGTAGAAAATGACTGTGAAAAACATATTAACATCTTCTTTAATTAAATGTCTGCAATTAAAAATGGCATTAAAGAATTACATTGCAAAGAGTCTTTATATCTGGAAAAAGGTTCAAAAGAAGTATTGCACATTACAACTTGAAGTTAACTTGCAACATTTTTACCACATTCAAGTCTTTTTAAGCTCCCCTTCCTCCAGATAGGTCTACGTGAGGTCGCCTCGACAGACGGCGGCGTCGGCGCGGGTGGGGGCGGGGCGACGTCTCAAGTCTTTTTGAACAGTGTTTCGTACGGACGCTCCAAGTCCCTGACGCTTTTAGTTCAACGGGTTTTCTTTTTTGTTTTGCTTTAATGGCTACCTCTCCGCCGCGTGTCCCGCAGAGAGGTCTGCGACTACGGGGGTCGACACAAGGGGACGGGGGCGGGGGTCGGGTCCTTAACGTAATAGTTGAGAAACATTTGGTGCACACCACAACAATTAATTTTAATAGCTAATTCATGTACTTGTCATTTTCTCTCTCTTTTTTTTTGTCATGCATGCTAAGGATTACAATAGGTGCTAGTTGGCAAGTTCAAGAATATATTTATATATATGTATATATAGATTTTTTTCAAATATTAAAATATCTAAAACACCAAACATCCATTCTTGTGATACGAGATTCAGCGTTAAGCCTGAACCAGATTTTGCATTCTCCTCGTTCGAAGTTACGCTCCATCTATGGGGAGGAAACCAAGACAGAAGTTCCAACTAGTAAGTTTAGAGACATTTACATTAATTTTTTTTTGCCTTTTATTTTTATTTATTTCTCCATGCTGTTATAGACCAGATTGGCTGGAAAACATCTAGTGTATGGAAAGCTAAGACCAAGAGAGCTTTGGTCTGTCCTCTGTAGATCTGAAGTCGCATCAACACAACTGCGCACTTGTAAAGTTGTAAAGATTCCTCAGCACGGAAATGTATAAAAAGCATAATTGAAAATAATATTAATAATAATAATAATAATATATATTGAAATCGCTCAACTTTTTTTGTCTTTTTTTCGTAAAATGAACATCTCCGTATATGCAGATCTCTCAGTAACAAAAGTACAAAAGCTACCTTTCACAATGTGAAAAATTGAGGTATTGCAAAAAGGAGTTTCCCCATTTGTGAAAAATGTGCCTAAAATGACTGTTGGAAAAAAAAAAAAGAGGAGAAAAAAAATATTTAGAAAAGTAGTGCATAATAAATGTTTATATGTGCATGACAAAATAATTTAGCTAGAAAACACTGTACCAAAAAATCAGCAGGCCATGTATAAAATAATCTTTTTTTTCTGTTTTTTTCATCTCATTTAACAGCAAATTCTTCACAAAGTGTTTGAACTTCTAAAATGCTCACCCAACACACCCACAAAAAAACGCTAACGTTKCGGGTGCAAAATAATAATAAGAGAAAGAACTGGTGCAACGACGCCGCGTCGACGTGAGGATTCTCACTAGTGTGTAATAATCAAGTTTCTACTAACTCCCTGACTTTTAAATGCTCGGCTAGAAGGTTGCCACTTAGTGACGTAAAATAGCAAAGAAATAGGATTACTTGTCRCCTTTGCAGTGGGAATGTGCACTTCGTGGTAAATTTCCCAAGCTATTTCAGGTAAAAAATAGAACGGACGGCTCCTCTTTGAGCTAGAGAGAACGCGAGGCCTTGTTGTCTGCAAGCCCTGCTGGTTTCCTACTGTTGTGTCACGAGGAAATCTCTAGCACGCAGAAGGTCACCGTTCATACTGCGGAGATGGTGTTCAAGGCCAATCTTTGGTTTGTTGACTCCGTCAGGGCTTGAGAGTTTCAACACAACTGGTAGATTTATGAAAGTGTACATTAAAAACAAAGAGAAATGCAAACGTAAATATAAAATAAGAAATGAGCTACAATGTGACCCACTACTGCACAACCATCTTTGGTTCCCGAAGGTCACCGGCTCCGGCCGTGTGCACCTGCGGTTTCGTTCTCAAACTGCGCGTGGGTCACAAGTGTGTTGTAGTAGTAGAGCACGCTGCAGAAACTATCTTCATTTATGCTTTAAAAAACACTGGATGCTGAGTTGGTTTAACTTGGCAGCAGAAGGGATGGAGGGGTCGCCGAAAGGGCAGATTTCCCCCACCCATGAGGATTTGCAAAGCAGATCTTTTTTTTTTAATTGCTTCTTTCTTTAAAATGTCGCTCGCTCTCGGATGCAAAGTAGCACTTTGTCGTTAAGGACTTGGGAGAATTGCACAAATGCTTTAAAGAAAACTAACAAAGAGAGGCGTTTTCCTTTTTTTTTTCTTCTTTTTTTTACAAACTGCAACGCGGGCCGCAAACGGACGGGTCCGCAGAAAGCAGGCTTCCATCCGCAACCGAGGCCCTGCCCTGTGTTAGCTGCTAGCCTAGCAGCGGAGGCCGCTAGCAGACGTGAGGAAGGGAAGTGGGCTGCGTTTCGACCGGTCTCTCCCATAGCCTCCCTAACCCATACATTCCCATAATACACTGTATACTGATGCTTCGCTCTGTCGCTAGCACAACCCTGGGTTTGATTACAAAAATAAGGAGGTGATGAAGCAAGTGAGTACAAAACTGTGCCAGTTACATCACTCTCTGTGTGCAACATCACTTCCCTCTGATTAGAATTCTAAGGAAAGGAGAACACCGGAGAGCGTTAAAGTTTTCTTTTCTTGCTTTTCTTCTTCTTCTTACTGTATTCGGCACATTAGCAGCTGAGTTTGAGGTATTAGTTTTTGCATGTCACAATGGAGATCAAAACCCAAATCTGTGTTGCTAAAATTTTCCCGCAATTTTCAAGTAACGTCAAAATGTTTGTATGGTTTTGAATGAAAATAACAATTAAAACATAACAAAACAAAAAAGTGGGAGAGAAAGAATCCATTTTGTTTCTGAAGGGCCCTTTCTGTTCTTCAAAGGGAATCAGGATTCAGCTTTGGTTAACTACAAAGGGTCTTATCTACGGCAATATTCACTCTTTAAACTGGAAATAAGTGCACTCTTCTTCAGCAACACCTTTGTTACTCGCATTTGCTCTTGAGCCTCTTGTAACATTGGTAAACCTAACCCACCTTTCAGAAATAAAGAGCCAATGACTTAAGACTTCGTACAAAAGGTTACAGCTCTGCTACAATATATGACGGCTAAATGTCAAATTAGGGCCTCTTGTATCAAAAGGAAATGTGTTTGTTTTAGAAAAAATATGCCAATTAAAAAGCAGAGTACCATATCACACATCAAACTTTCCTATATTTCAAATATATATGTTTTTTTTTGAGAACTAAAAATATTTCAAAAATCAGAAGAAAAATAAAATTATATTACACATCTTTTTTCCCCCTAGATGGACATTTTTGGATACAATCCAGTTTTTCTTTTCTATCTTCAAAATATTGATATATATATTAACTTTAAATAAAAATTTCAAAAAGAATAACAATAATAATAATAATGTTAGGTGAAATTAGAGCAAAAAGGAACCAGCAACAGAAAAGTGCATTTATTTGTACAATGATTTGCGACTCCTGCACTACCTGCCCTCCTCTCCCCCCTTCCACGTCGTTCTGCTCAGTTCCAGCGGAAGGAGATGTGGCGAGGCCGGTCGCCCCCCTCCTTCACCAGCGGCTTGTGAAACTCTCGCCCGGCGCGGGAGTGGATGGCCGCCCAGCAGTACTCGCAGTAGTACTGCAGGCAGGTGACGTTGGCGCAGAAGAACGGCGCGAACTTGCCACCGCAGCGAGTTCCCTGGCACTCGTCGCACAGCTGGTCATCGAGCACGTATGGCTTCACTTCCACCTGCCGGGGGGAGGGAGGGGAAAGACGTTTACCCTTTCACAATAAAAGCTCACTAAAATGCGACAATGTGTAATCAACAACAAATGTTTAAACCAGGAGTTCTAAAACTGCAGGAACAGGGTTCCCACAGTTTAAAGAGTAACTTACCCCAAAATTAACTTATCTGATAAACTGTCTAGAATGTGTCTAAAATGTTATATAGTACTGTTTCTGTGCTAATTTTGATGTTTTTGTGCGTATTTGTTCAAATCTGTAATATTTGGTCTAAAAACGTGTTTTTGCTGCTCATATGGGTAGAGCAGTGGTACTGCAGGCTAATTTGCATATTGGTTAATGGCTCTCCATGGTGATGTGTCTTCACGGTTTTGTCACAGCGGCTGTGTTCTGGTATAAAAGCCTCTCTCTAAAGG